TTTTAAATGAATTGATATCTTTCAATGAGTTTTATTGTAATATTTTGTGCATGTTTTTTGATAATGATGTTAAAATGGCACACAATATATTTAAAACAAATTTGGTTATTCTTTTATTCAACCAATGATAATGCCAGTTGTTATCAAAACCAATTTTAATTGAAAGTTTTTAAAAGCCTAGATTCCTAACTTTGCATACAAATGCATTTTTCACTAAACATTTATTCATCCTACCTAATGCATGCTAATTCTCCAAAAACGAATTTTAAACTCTTCAACTCAATTGAACTGGTTCAATTAGAAAAAGCATGCAAATATTTTTTTTGCTATCTGATCAAAGAACGATTTTTTCCTTAACTTCTGCCTAAGAAAAATTGACCACTTTTTTACTTTTTCCTTTGACCATGAAAATCAAACTCAATTATGAAAATGGTAAAAATTTGTATAAATATTCGTCATCTCGAATTAAGAAATGTTTTTTTTAATTAAAGTCTTGATTACCAGGCAATTTTAAAACGGTTAACTGATATATTGGATTGGCAACTACGTCATTGCCGTTTTTGTTGACGGATTCACTCTATACTTTCTTTTGTTTTGTTAACGTGGCCAGAGCATCTAACCTATATTTTTTTCTTACTGTATGGGCTTCTAGGTTAATTAGTAAAAAATTTTTTTGTTTAGTTCTTTAGTTTTGTTTTTATCCCAATTTAAAAATGAAAGAACAGGACGTGCACTTCCGACACATTTTATTGTATTACTTCCGAAAAGGCAAGAACGCATCGCAAGCACAAAAGAAGTTATGTGCCGTATATGGAGATGAAGCATTAAAAGAAAGGCAGTGTCGAAATTGGTTTGAAAGATTTCGTTCCGGTGATTTTTCACTGAAAAATTCACAACGATCTGGCCGCCCAGTCGAAGTGGATGAAACCCATATCAAGGCCATTATCGATTCAAATCGTCACAGCACAACACGAGATATTGCAGGGAAGCTCAATGTGTCGCATACATGCATTGAAAAAAAAATGAAAAACTCTTGGTTATGTCAAGAAACTTGATTTATGGATCCCTCACCAGCAGTTAAAGGAAATTCATTTGACGCANCTCTCGACTTTTTTTCACTTTGATGTTCCTCCCCCTCTGTGAATCCTGAAGGCAACTAAAGGTCTAACGATGGCTATCATAACACCTGCCATTTAATATAATTAAATCTTCCACGAGCCGAATTCGTGAATGCAGTTATCTGGCTGATTTCTTACTTCACGTTTACATCAATTTCGAGCTTGGCTCTTATTTAACTGTTGCATTACGCATAATCAGCCAATCATGATCAGAACAAAATTCAGTCTTTGTTTTTTTTTCTCAAGTTTATCCGACGACAGTGGATATTTAATTAATCTCCCGTTTATATTTAATAAGTAATTGTAATACACACTGGGGAGCCTTCGTGTAACGAGGATTGTTGACAAAATGCTGACTCTATAACAATTTTTAATAAGTTACTAATAACTGGAAGACGTCTTAGTATCCAGCAGAAGGGACCGCGGATTGAATTGCTCAGTTATCTCGTTTTAGCCACTGATGTAATGAATTTAGATGTGCTCCAGATCAGCTGTCTCTACTTGAGAGCTTTGCATTGTCCGCAGATTAATTGTTTAACAGATTCTAAGTTAGACCCTCTCTCCCTCCTTTTCTAGTTGGAATGCTTTTAAAGTATTGCAGTTTGACGATTTCTATAGAGAGCTAGTTGTGAAATGAGTGAATGTGTATGATAAATACCCAACTCATAAATTGAAAAATGACATGTCATGAAATTTTGCTCTGTACTAACTACAATATCAAGTACCAATTACCATAAATATATTGACATTCTTCGAGAAAATTATCTATTTCTCGTGCTCAAAAGAACTGTTCTACTTTTCAGAAATGAGGTTTTGCAACTTTATACCTTCTTAACCTCATTAAATGCAATACTGATGGCAATTGAACTCTCTTTTTACCTTATGCCCTAAAATGAAATTTTGCGCATGTTACATACTCGTTAAACCGGCTCCACAAAACGGTGAACTATGGATATATTGAACATATTCTCACCCATAAATCCTGGAGTCATGTAAATGGGAGAACTCCAGTTTTCAAGAATTCAAGGTGTGCATCCTGACCCGATGTCCTCGTTATTAACTTTCTGTTAATCCACTTTGCTGATTCAAGCTTAATTGGAGCTGTTTATTAGTAAAGTGATTTAGACGTTTCCCATGATGGAAACTTGTAATGTACAATAGTAAGAGAAATAATAATAATAATAATAATCAAACGAATAGGGTAGCTTTATCTATCTTTTCTCTTAAGTTTTGTCAGGTATTATTGAAATAAATATCGAGCACTCAATCGTAACGATTGGATGTAATGGGACAATTTTATTTTAAAGAAGTATACTTAGTTGAAATTAATAGCAATAGCAATTAACAGCAAGTGTTTACTTGATTCCAATAAACGCCAAATCTTTGAGATTAATAGCGTAAATATATTTAGACATGATGGGGTGTGCGATAGACTTACTTCCACGTGGTGCACTCTGGGCAACGTATATTCATACGGCATAAAGTCTATTAACTGGCAGTTGACTTCTCACTTCAAACTACCATCACTCCACTGTATGTCATATTCGACCACTTCCATAGCACACACATCACCTTTCATCTACTTTATCTACCTTCGTCTTTGAAACACTCTTTTGTTCCCCCCCCTCGTCTCGACTCTTTTTCACTTTGATGTTTCTCCCCCTCTGTGAATCCTGAAGGCAACTAAAGGACTAATGATGACCATCAAAACGCCTGCCATTTGATATAAATAAACAAATATATTTTGACATGACAAAATGTCATTAGGAATCCTTTTGCCCAGAGTACATAACTTTTAGATTGACCTATAATAGCGCAGTGGTAAGCATATTTCCATCCATTAACATTTCCTCATTGTCAGTAAAGTTGGTTTAACTATGAAGGCTTATTAATTTAATTTCCTCTTACTAGGAGAGCTACTGATTAAGAGTGAGAGAGAGTGAGTTACAGTGCTTGAGTCAAACTCCCATAAATCTATACGCTAGTTGGGGTGACGTAATGTCGAAATGTCACCAAAAGGTGAATTATCTCAATATTTTGGCAACTGTGTAAAATTTATTGCGCCGCCTTAATAGAGAGCAGTAAAATGGATCAAAACACAGTTGTAGTCATGCGGATTTCATAAGCTGGGGTTCATTTTTATTACCTATCTACCTTGCCTGAGCACATAATCAGAATATCTAGCATCTTTAGATGTGAGATATTTCTCCAATAACTCAGGAGAATTATTTAATGAAGTCTAAAAGGAATTTTTGTGCGCATTAACCAATGTAGAAATCAATCTAGCCCATTTTTAACAATGGAAAACGTATTATCAAACCTCAGTGGTGCCATACTGAAGTAATGAAAGGGTATTACAAAGAGGTTTTATAGCTAACATCTCTTACTTAGTCTAACCATTTATTAAACTGTTAATAAAAGTGTTCGTAAGCAAGTCATCCTCATTTCAACTCCGGAAAAGGTACGTTCAGAAAAAGAAGCAAACATAGCATAACTCGAACTTATCTTCCATATGAAGTATGACTCGGTTGATACTCTAAATTTAAACCGAATACACCTCGATCTCTACAATTCGATTTAAGTTACCATTTGTGCAAGCTCAATCGATCAACTACATCAAATTTTTTAGTATATGAACCATTATTAGGTAAGAAACTGAAGTTTGAATCTTGTCAAATTTCATCATGATCCAATGAACTCTACTTGGGGAGTGACGGGTCGATACTCCAACAATACAGGAATTCAAATGAAGGGATTCTGTTTTATTTCTTACATGCTATATTCTACTTTACCATTCTAGTCTATCTTGACTTGCTAATTTTGCACTGCTTATTCTAATTAATGAAATAATTAATTGTTAATGTTGAAAGTACACTTCCTTGTTCTCTCTCTCTCTTATTTGGTGTACCTTGAATTCTACTTTCTGGTAAGGCGTGAAAATGTGAGACTGGGTTCAAAATGGCTGAGTTGGTTACCGATACTTGAATCTATTGTTTTTAGGGCACCTTTCATAGGATGGAAAGAATGAAAGATTTCAAAAAATCATCGAAATAATCCCACAACGAAGTGTCCATGATGCTTTAAAGAAGTTGAGTTAAAGCTGAAAATATTCAAATCGAAATTTCTTACTAAATAAGTAATTCCCTTCCATAATTTCACCTATGTCGATGGAAAATGACGAAAAGAACGCATTATATTAAAAATCTAATTTCACAGGCTCAATTTTTTGGAGGAATTTAACTAAGCGCTAACCACTTAAATTTCTTAAATAACATTTTAAAATCCTTTGAAAATTCGAATAAGATAATTAAATTCTCATTAAAACATTTAATTTGTCCAATATATCGTGGAATAGTTGAGAATACTATATCTAGGGTAAATTTGTCAGTAAAAAATCAATAACTTGTCTAAATTCATTTATCTTCGTTTTAAGGCTATAAATTAAAACAAGAGAGTATATGTAACTCAAAAAACAACTTTTTGAATAATTGATCAAGAAGGATAGTAGATGAGGGGGTCAGTTAACCCAGATCCATTAACAAAGTAGTTAGGTTATGGCAAATATTGTCTTTTTCTATGGATTTAATTCGACACCATAGTAAGTACCACTTAAGTAGCAAACAAAAATTATGTATGTATATATAAGCGATCAAGTTTCAATATACAGGTGGGTTTGGGTTCCAAAATTTGTTTGGTATAGTTTGTCATAGAAGGGAAGAGGAGTTTTGAGATAACGAGCACTTGAGGGCAAACTAGTAAGGAGGGAGGGAGACCAAGAAAACGAAGCAAACAGCAAAATTAATTGAAATAGACTTATCCATACACTTGCATTTGTTTAACTTGTACAAGATGAGGAAGATAGGCGTGAGAAAAAGGCACTGTTCAGCTCATGGCAACACCGCTGCTCGTAGATTCGCCATTCAATGACGTTCGAAAGTTCATGTCACCGGGGAGTTTTCGAATCACTGTTCCACCACTTGTATGCGAAGCCATTGTTTGGACATTCTCCGAGGATTGATGTGGCTTAAAGGTTTGTTGTGGATATTGTGATATTGGCTGTGCTAGAGCTATGTAATTAGCTGTAGGTGGTGCTTCGGCACCTTGTGGCAAGGCAATCAATTGGATGGGAGTTCTCCTTCGAATCTTCTCCGATGCTACATCACTACGTCGATCAAGAGATCCTGTTCTATAACCCTCTGAAGCTGGGCTCGCCGATCGATCGAAGCCTGTTACGATGGGGAAGAAATTCTGAGCACCAGAGCCAAATATTCTATTCTGTCCAAGGGCCTTAATTCCACCTGAACCATCAGGTGCATAGAGGGGTTGGTATGCGAAGTGTTGACATGGCGTTCCGTTGAGGCCATTAGTAGCGAGAAGCTCACATCCACTGAGATTACTAGAAATTGCAGTATTTTGAAGACTTGCACTATCTCCTAGCACTAAGGCGGTGTTATTTGGATACCCCACAGAATCTGCATAAATATTTGGGGAGTTAATCTTGGAAGCACTGTTGATTGAGTTGTACGGAGGTGCGCTGTGATATGAGGCCTCCAGTTTTGATAACTTTTTGGCAGTTTTTGATCCTGACCTTTGGCTACGGAAGCACAAAATCAGAGTGACAATAGCAAGAATTATGCACAAGAAGGCAGCCAGGGCAAAGACCACTCGGTAGATAATTAATTGAATATAAAGGCGACGGTTTTCTTGCTTAGCTTCAGCAAGAAGAATAATATATTCCATGGAGGCATTTGTTGAACCAGTTCCCACTCCAGAAGGCGATGCTGGCGGAGCATTAGGCCCACGTTTTGTTGATGATTCACAGCTTTTTCGATAACAAAGAACGTGTTGCGGAAAAATATGAGTTTTCTCAGTAGGTGGAGGTACAATTTCAATCTTTGGTAGTCGTCCAGGTCGTAGCATGGCCAACATAGTATACTGTCCGAGTCTATCAGCAAGATAAAAGATCCGGTCCTTCGTGGTAAGAGGCGGGGAAGACTGAACTCTGTCTGCGACCTTCACTGTCTGTAGGAGAGCATCGAGAGTTTCGAGATCAACTAACTGGGCAGTGTAGTCCTTGTTTACACGATTTAATTCATCGACAACATTGACCTTGAAGTCTGCTTCAGAACTCCTTGCTTCCCTTGCCGCTTCCATGAATTGTAATTCCAGTCGGCTGCAAGCGGAGTAATGAGCATAGATATCCTGATGTGAACCTTGAGGAATAACTAACCAGGCGTAGATATAGGTACATTTTCCCAATTGACGCTTTTCTATATCTCCAATCACGCTATAAGGATCACCGGGTAGAATTGGTGTCAGCTTTTCATTTGAAATTGCAGTCGACGAGAAACTAAGAAGTAGGATGAGAAAAATCATGGTAGAGATGAAATTTAACAGCGCAACATCGAGGAACACGTTGTTTCACGGGGCTGACTGCAGCACACTAATGAACTTACGCGCGTGTCACAAGTCGAAATATGATTAGTCCATGCGGCAGCCAACCACAGTAAAGAAGTGATTTAGCTGTATTCTGATTTGTCCAGAGGTATCAAGCATTAATAATAAAGACGATCGTATATTAGTCCCATATATATTACTTATAGTTTGTAAGCAAGATTCAATAGGATAATGTACCGGCTCCCTCAATTGAATTTTCAACCAAGCCTCTATTAGTAACGCCCTTTTAGCTCCTAAACGGCACATTCACATTTGTGAGTTCATAAAAAATTGATGTGGCGTCGATGCAATTCAAGTATCAATCGGTTATAGGCAGTCATTCATCTTGAGCATGCAAGTATTCACTTCGCATTGAGTGTAAAGGCAGCCACTATAATCATTTCTTCTCTTCTGTAGCCTAATGCAAAAGATGCCACCTTCTACTATTGTATTTTATTTATTTATTTATTTCAAATGGCAGGCGTTTTGATGGTTATCATTAGCCCTTTATTTAACTTCAGGCTTCACAGAGGGGAAGAAACATTAAAGTGAAAAAAGTCGAGAGGAGGGGAACTGAAGAGTGTTTCAAAGACGAAGGTTGAAAATGTGATGTAGTACTGTGGAAGTGGTCGAATATGTCATACAGGGGGGCCTTGGTAGTTTGAAGTCAACTGCCGGTTAATAGACTTTTTTGCCGTATGGGATGTCAACTGCCGATTAATAGACTTTTTTGCCGTATGAGAAGTGATAAGTCAACTGCCGGTTAATAGACTTTTTTGCCGTATGAGTGGGTTGCCCAGGGTGCACCGCGTGGAGGTAAGTCTATCGCAACAACTGCCGGTTAATAGACTTTTTTGCCGTATGAGTATACGGTGCCCAGGGTGCACCACGTGGAGGTAAGTCTAAATATACATTGCCCAGGGTGCACCACGGAGGTAAGCCGAATGAGAATACGTTGCCCAGGGTGCACCACGTGGAGGTAAGGTGTGAGTGTACGTTGCCCAGGGTGCACCACGGACTCTTTTGCCGTGTATACGTTGCCCAGGGTGCACCACGAGGAGGTAAGTCTATCGCACACCCATCTTCTACTATTGTATGACCTCAGTATTGGTTTGGCATAAATTCTTTAAGAATTTTTTGACTACCTATTTCTGAGTTCTTTTATAGGTAATTCTCAGCATTAAAATGCATTTTTCTCAGTTTTAAGTGCCTTAATACTAACTTAGTAGCTAATCTTCAAAAGTTTCGAAATTCTCAATTAGTACTTCCCATAATTGACGATTTAAAACACGATTAGCCTACACTATACTGGGTTTTTTCGAATTTTGTGAATGTTTCAACTAAACTTTTTCAATTTCTTTAAATTTTCATATAAATGCTTCTGAATTTCCACACCGGCTTTTTCCTAGGGTAGAGAAAACGTTTTCTAGGGCTTGTGTGATGAGTATTTTGACGGCCAACATTTAATTTCAAGCGATGGGATTTTCGATTTTCATGGGTGAATTACCTCATTATCTCTTCCTTGGCCGACATCCAAGTTGATCGTTGTGAAAAATGCCCTATTTACTAATTCCAAATATTTAGCTAATAACTAAACATAATATAAACACAAGGAGAGAATTAATATTAACGCATTTTTGTGTTTATAAGACTTCGATTCCATGATCCCTAGACAACCAAAGAAAATACACATACTTGTGTATCCTCTCATCTAAGATGAAAATTAAACGGTCTATTGAAAAATCGAATCGATTTTATTATTAATTATAAATGAGGACATAAGCTCGTAAAACTCCTCCCCCCAATGACCCAATCCAAGTTGGCTGAAAGATCCCAATTTCGGCTTTCTCTAATTTCACCAAATTGTAGTATTCCAAATATATTCTTATAAAGTCTCTTTTATCTGTAATTTCGCGTAATAAGTTATCAATCTTGAATAAATTTTGCAGCTTTCTTACGGTATGATTATGCAGTCAAGCGTAAAATCAAGGTGTGCGATATTAATTTGCACCAACAGAGCTTGAGAAGTAGATGACAAATAAACTGTCGATTTGTGTTTATCAGTTCACAGTTGATTATCGCAAATGCCATTTATATTGACATATCAACGCGTGCAAAAGCTGTAACAAAATCGCCATTTAGGAATATAATAGATGATTGCAAATAAGGAAAATAAGGCTGACTTCAGTCACCATTGCAAGTCACATATATCTATCTTTAAAGCCGAAAGAAATGAAATAGCAAAATTAGCAACTTATAAACCAAATTGATTGGCCAAAGAGCAACGAGTGCTTTCAGGGCCAATAGGTAAAATCCGCGTTTCAAATCATAAAGGATGAAAAATACAAGACATGCTCTTACAGAACGGAGATAACCTAATCTATCGATAAGTAAAACTAAGCTAGACTCCTGAAGCCCTAGTTTTGTTAATTTTTTCTATCCAATCCCTTCCAAGAAGGCCAATTATGCGGGTTTGTGTGACTCTGTTTGCACCAACAAGATATGCGATTTTGTTATGCTAATAAGCAAAAAATTCCCCGTTTTTTTTAACATCTACAACTGCTTTATTACACGGAAAAGTAATGTGACCTCATCATATGCCCATTGGCAATGCAAAGATTTATTTATTTATATCAAATGGCAAACGTTTTGATGGTTATCATTAGCCCTTTAGTTAACTTCAGGCTTCACAGAGGGGAAGGAACATCAGAGTGGAAAAAATTCGAGAGGGGGGAGAGAAGTGTTTCAAAGATGTAAAAGAGACAGATACAAAGGTCGAAAAAAGGTGAGGTAAACACCATGGAAGTAGTCGAAGATAACATACAGTGGGGTGTTGGTAATTTGAAGTCAGATGTGAACTGTCGGTTTATAGACTTTTTTGCCGTATGAGTATACGTTGCCCAGGGTGCACCATGTGGAGGTAAGTCTATCGCACACCCCAAATTCTCACAAAGGAATTCTTCAATTTCTCCCCATTATAATTCTTCAATCAATAACTACATTTATTTTTAAGTGGGTTGCTTTTTCCACGACAAAAATCCAGTGAATCCCCTTTGTGCATTTCATGACCTTATGTTTAATCACAACTTTTGAAATGCGTCCACTCTAGTTCACACACTCATAAAATTGACCATCGTGATTCATTCCAATAATGGCCTTAAGGTCATAACCTTATGAAATCATCCTAGTGGATTTCTAAGTTGAGCAGGTAAATAATTGCTAGTTCAACTTAGCTGACCGATGTTTCCCAGGCTTCGTCTTTGCGGAATATGGATTGCAAAAAAAATAAGAAGATTACCAGTATCAACATTATAAGATGACCCTGGAACTCACGTTGCTAGTCGGTTTTGTGCTTGTCAAAGCAACGTGTATGAATATAAAGCACTTTACCAAATAATTTGCTAAGTTGTCAAAGGTCTAGGATTTCTAAAAATTAGGTATTTTTAAATAACTTTTTGATTTTCGATATTTGGACGCTTGACCCCTTTACAGATCTTGGATCAGTAAAGTGTTGAAGAACGCTATACGATAAGACGTAATATAAAGTTTGGAAACCAGTTTTTTGAGTAAAAGGATGATTATGGCTCATTATAAGAGTAAGTTCTCAGACCGATCTCAAAATTCATCAAGAATTTCTCTGCCAAAGCTTAAGGGTATCATTAAAGCGAATGTCTTTAGACAATTTGACTTTTAAGGAAAAGGGGTGTGCGATAGACTTACCTCCACGTGATGCACCCTGGGCAACGTATACTCATACGGCAAAAAAGTCTATTAACTTCTAGTTGACTTCTGACTTCAAACTACTATCACCCCACTGTATGTCAAATTCGACAACTTCCATAGTGCTCACCTCACCTCTTTCTGCCTTTGTGTCTGTCTCTTTTACATCTTTGAAACACTCTTCTGTCCCCTCCCCTCTCGACTTTTTCACTTTGATGTTCCTCCTTCTTTCTATGAAGCCCGAAGTCAACTAAAGGGCTAATGATAACTATCAAAATGCCTGCCATTTAATGTAAATACTTTTAAGGAGAACTTTATGCGTTGCTCTTTTGTTGTTTCGTATTAAATTCCCGGTAAATGCCTATTCTTTCGATTTATAACGTGAGAATAGCTGCTTAATAGTGACCATTAAGCAAAATTGCAAGCACTCATTGAATCACTTTTGAAAGGTTATCAGATGTCACTTACTTGCTCTTTTGTGTCAAACAANCCACCGTCCTTTCTTCTAGCAGTGAAATTCGTAAGGCACATTCCCCAAATCCTCTATCCTCAAACGGCCAAAATGGATGACCTATTTTTTAACATTATTTTGAACAATCAGATGCAACTATCTTTCAATTTGCCTACTCTCTTAGATATCTGAAACTTGTACTTTAACGGAACTAGATCTATCAGCCTTTATAGGAGTCAGGAGTGCGGAGGGTTATTAGATATGCCACATGGATAGATGAATGAACGCATTTTCAGTTTTAAAAAAAAACAGTTCCACAACCAATAAGATCATAAATACCCACTAAATGTGCATCGTTGGGATTTGAACCTAGTTATTAAACAAAAGTTTGAATACCAACACAACTAAGATCATGCAATTATTATAACTTCATTTGAATTCATGATCAGTATTCTAATTGGAAACGTCGAATTCAATGTTCAATAGAGAGGTGACGGAATGTACGATGATCCAGCAGAGGAACTCCAGGGTGTCACTTCTCTCCTCCTTCTCCTCTTTCTCTCTCTCTCAGAGTGCTTGGAAAAGAAAATTGTTTCAAATTTTCCCATTTATGAGTCCAACTCCACGACTCTGAGCTAGCAGCATCCCCACGTCACTGAAAAATTAAATTTACCCAAATGTACACTCAAAGCCTTAAATAGTCAACCCATACTTACATTCAGGTTTGAAGTGTCTTATTTTAAATTCCATTTGAGAAACCTAGAAACTT